TCCTTTTGAAATAAAAAAATAGCTCTCAACATTTTAGCTTCAAAGCCTTCATAGCAGTATACATGTGTGCCTAAATTGCTTATCATAATAAAAAAATAATTATGACATTTAGGCAGCTGAAATTAGTCTTATATAGTACTAAAATTAATTTTCATATATACCAAAATTATTACTAAAATTTTTTGAACTCTTTTCATCAAAATACATTATATAGTATATTTATTTCGAAGGGTTTTATATAAAAAATTTAGCAATGCTGAAATGTTTGCTGAAAATACTTTTTTTCAAAAGTAATTTAGATATATATGTATACATAGCAGTAGTCATCCAAATAGTGCTTTCCTATTTCTTTATAAATTATATTATATAAAACTGTTGTATTATCTTGTACTATGATAATCTGTAACTGAAAGAATAAGAACTTAACATAATATGAATCACTTTATTTATATTCCAAATTTATATAACAAACTGACTTTTGCACTTTAATAAAAATTTTTTTGTGAAATTTTACCTTATAATGTAATTCCTCCTAATGATTATCTTAAATTTATTAAATAATAAGAAATTTATTAACCATTACATGTGCTAACAAATCTAAGTATTTCATTGGATAGCAACTAAATTTTGTAATGATATCTTGTAGGGTCATTTTTAAGGCAAAATTTTGGTAGTACAAAATTATAGTAAAATATTTATCTGATATGTCGATTATTTCTATTCTATTTTTAGATCTTCAAAAATTTTTCTGCCAAATTTGATCTAAAGATCTGGACTTCAATAACTTATTTTAATATTATGTTAATAGCTTATAAAATTTATACAAAATAAGCTTTATACTTTATAGATTAATATTTAACAAAAATCTCATTTTTGGTTTGAGGACCTCAGAACCTCATTTTTAAGGCAAAGACTCCATATAGTGATCACTATTCATAATATTGTATAGATCAATTAGTTCTGGTACTTCTATATCTAAGGTAAATTCAGAAGTAGTCTAAATATTATCTATTTGGCTTGATAGTTGACTTCGTTATCATGTAGGAGTAGTAATATTGTAAAATTGTAGTAGACTGTTTAGACTTAGAGTTTCTAAATATGTAAATAGAATTTTGTATTTGTTTTTTAGAAGATAATTAGTATTAAAATCATTCATAAATATGTATTGCTAGTTTCTTGTTTTTGTTTCTATTATCTATGAGTTGATAACTCTTTGTATACTGAGTGCTAACTTTGAGTAGTTTGTTGATATGTAAATTGAGATAAATCTTATTTTGTTGTTTCCAGAAAACCAAAAATTAACAAATATTGCTGTTCTAAAAAAGTTTTTAGTATTGTTTATATATGAGTTGATTAAAGTATGTACTGCAAGTGCTGTTTCTAGAGAAGCTTTAAGTTGTGTATTGTGTTTAGATATAAAGTTAGATAAGAAGATTTTGTAGAGAGAGTTAGTTAGTATTGTTAAATTTTTTGTTTTGAGTTTAGTTTCTGTTAATAAAACTATGTAGAATTGTTTTTTTTTATAGTATGTTAGCTAGTTATATAATTTGAGTTTATTATTTAGTCTTTGTATATTATATGTTTCTAAGTTGATTTTTTTAGGAATATTTTTCTTAATCATTTTTGTTATCTTATGTACTAACTTTTATTGATATATTAGTTTGAATATGTTGTTGATTATTGTTATTAAAGATATCCTAATTAGGTTTTAGAAGGTCTAGTAAGTCAAACAAAAATAGAGAGAATATCTGAAAAGTATAGTATATATGTAAGAGTTCTGTAACTTTGAGTATCTCTTTATGTTTTGTAATTAGAAAGTTGAAGTATGCAAGTTCTTCAATTTGTTTAGTAGATACTATAAGTTGCTCTAGTGTATTAGGTATTCTTTGAAGACCTTCAACTAGATTATTATTAGTCTTTTTAATTTGAATCTAATTCTTAGAAATCTTTTTAAAGTAATAGTATTTTCTAAGATTTTTGACTGCTATGCTGAGTTGTTTAGGTGTAGTAATAGAAATAGTAAATTGACCTTATTGACTTGTGAAGATTCTCTAGCAGATCTGATAAATCTGTAGAGTTTATAGTTATATAGCTAAATAGAAATAATGCTGGTATTTAGTATGTTGAGGAAATTTTATTAATAAATACTTGAGCAGTTACTTTGTCTTCTATTAGAAATATATATTTGTTTTCTAATAGTAGTTTGTTTGGATCATTAGGTAGACAACATCTTTGTATAATATAATTATTTAGTAGTCTTGTAAATGTATAGCTTTCTTTTAAGAGATGTATATACTCTTTAAAGTCTTCAGCATTCTTTAGGAGAAAAGGAAATATTTCTCTTAAATATAGTGTCAGCTCTTGTAGAGTGCAGGTGAGCTTTTGTTTTGGAGATAGAAGATCAAAATAAGTATCTGGAATATAATATACAATTAGTGTTTTTTTTAGTTTCTCTTTATATTTTGAAAGAGATTTTAGTTCTGAGTAAATATTTTTAGAAAGATGTTTCATAGAGATTCATCAAGTAGCAATAGTGAGTTTGGAAGAGGTATACACTTATCATTAAAGTAAAATTCTAATATATGAGTAAAGGTAAAAGCTAGTCTTAGTACTTTTGCAATTGTACTTGCTTGCTTTTTATCTTTGTTAGGGAGTATAAAAGAGATAGCTTTACAGATCTCTCTATTTATAAAATCTGAAGTAAGCAGTAGTAGCAAGAGGAGTTGGTCCTTCTCTATTTTGATTATGCTTAGTATAGTTTCAAATTTTAATTTTGTTTGAATTTTTGCAAAGTTGATATATATTTAATTGAGCTAGGTTTAGGTTTAGAAAGAGAGCTTTGTATAGAGCTTAATAAAGATTTAATCATAGTTCTTTTTTGTTTATAATACAAATATTATGCTATCTCTTATATGACTCTAAGGCATTATACATAAGTGATTCGAACTCTAGTTGGTATACTAGATAAGTAGCTAAGACTTGTATGAAAGAGTGAAAGAAGGCTATATCTTAATATTCAAATTTTTTTTTAATAGCATATAGAATATTAATATTTGTTAGTAAGATACTTAGCTTGTATTTGATTAATTCTTTTAAAAAATCTAATTTTATAAGTGAGCTACTAATTTTGTCTAGTAGCCATATTTGTGTATCATATGTATTAAGTTGTTTTTTCCTAATATCAGATAAGTTTTTTCTGAATTGCTATGTCTAGATACTTCTAATATCAGTTCTGTTATAAGTTGTTGTTTGTCTTTATAGACTATAAATAATAATTTGGCTATATACAGTGCAGGAACCTTTAAATCAGCAAGTCTTAATATATGTGGCCAAATTTTGTCTTAGGTCGGAAGTCAGATCAGAGCCAATCAAATTGCAGGAAATTAAGCTAATAAAAAAAAAAACAGAACTACTGCTAAGAAAAAACCTGTTATTGAACCTTCAATTATATTTTATGTACAGTTAGCTATCTATAGAAAATCTATCATAATAATTGATTATTTATAGATGGCCAACTGTACACCAAATACAATTGAAAGTCTGATAACAGATTTTTCCTCATTTTTATAATTTGTATCATAGATTCATATCGTAATTTGTGTCATGATTCATATTGTAATTCATATCATGATTCATATAGAGATCAAGATTCATATTGTGATTTGTATAATGATATGCATAAGAAAGCGATTTAATTTTGTTTAGTCTGCTATGCTGATATATCAGATTTTCAATTATGAAGATGAAATTTGGTATTTATTTATCAAGCATTATATTAGTAGCTTCTGGATAAACCTTAAATTAGCGAGAAACATCATATTGAGCTAAGATATGTTTCATATCGGAAAAAGTTATAAAAATCTAACAGAAATAAAATCAGCATACATTGAATATTACATAAGTGACCCCTATGTTAAATTTTTGTGATCGCGATTGCTAAAGCTGGTCAATTTATCATAAATCTGAGATTAAGTTCATAATAAATTGGCTGGTTTTAGCAATCACGTTTGCAATCACAATTATTTTAATCAAAAATAACACTCAATATATATACGTACAATCATGTCCAGAAGTTTGATTTAAAAAAAGTATTTTGAATTCTATTACAGTATTTCAATAAAAAACTGTAAAAACTGATAACAATGCTAACTATTATAATTTTGGTTATAAGTTTATTTGAAATAATGTATTTATATTGATAAAATTTTGATCTCAACATGCTACAAATTTAATAATGAATATTTTGTATTCATTTAATTTGACTCCAATTCCCAATAAACCGTGAATATTTCACTAAATTTTAACGTTTCGAATTTTTCATATTAATATATTTTTCTTTTTAACTCCAATTCCAATAATATTGATATATAATAGATGTATCTGAATATGAACTTAATTTATTAAAAGGCAAAAGATAGAAATGTAATAAAAAAAATCAAGTATCACAGAATAAAGTTGTTACCTACTCATTAATTATCTAATGCATCAATTTCATTTAAAATTGTATTTGGTACATGGCAATATGACTGATATTTTTTCACAGCATATTCTGCGGATTTTCCTGTTAAACCTTTGCAATACACATCTATATATCTAAAGGACTTCTAGGCATATCGTCTAATTTCAGTGAGAGGTACTGATTCAAGAGCTTGTAGCACAGTTCTCTTCAAACCTTCCCATGTGTAGTCACAGTGATTACGTACATATCACTTTACTGACACATAAAAATTTTCTATAAAATTTAACTCGCAATGAAACTTTGGATAAAAAATAACTTCATAGCCTGCGGAAATAATTGCTTCTTCAACTTTTCCATGTTATACTCTAAAATCTGGTTGGTTTGCTATTGTTGTTCTAGCGCAGCAATCAGTTTTTTCTTGTTCACACCCTTCTTTACATGTCAATCTCATTCTATCATGCCACAATTCTCTCTTACTCAATACTTGCTTCAGGCCTTTAGATTCATTACGGAGATCAGGGTTTTCATAATCTTCAGAAAATCATATGTCTTGTGGGATATTATCTCCGTATGTGGTACTTCTATTGTTTGATAATATTTAATGTTAATATATTGCTATAAAAATTTAGAATATTTATAATAATGTACAAACCTCATTTTTGGCTGTTTTCCATAAGGAGATAAATTCATGTTTTTTGCTAGAAGGGCATCTTCGGCATATGCACAATGACCAGTTGTATTATCAAATGCAAAAAGGGCCTTTGCATCTAGAAACCGAGCTTCAAATATTAGGATTGCACGGTTTATCACCTAATCCACAAGATCATCTGAATTCCACCATCCATCACCATCTTTACCTAGATAAGTTATGACACATACTTCTGATGGGAGGTTAGGAAAAGCAACCTAAAAGATTTCAATTAGGGCTTTCTAATTATAAAATAATGAATAAATAAGACATTGTATATGAGTGCTGCCAAGAGAAAATATCTCTTCGAACTTTCAATTATATTTTGTTCTAAACATAATCTATTTAATTTATTAGAGATTATGTCCAGTACAAAATATAATTGAAAGTCCGAAGGGACATTTTCTCTTGGCAGCACTCATATATACCTTGTCTTCTTCACGTAATGCTAAATACTCACCAATATCAGTGAGAAATTCGCTTATATGAACTGACTGCCCTTGGCCTTTTTTGCGAAGTAGTTGCTCTCCTTTTGGCAACCACAGCTAACATCTTCTATTATAAGCTGAAAAATATACTTATTGTGTATTACCAAAATGATAATATTATCAAAATCTGGTCTAGTCTCTTCTTCCATATTTTCACCAGAGAAAACCACCATACATGTTTCAAATTCTGCTATTCTTTCCAAAAACCTTTCATGATAAGCCACCACATCTGCACACTCATGCCTATCCATATACATTCCTTTTCTAACTTCTGAGTACTTAAACTCAAATGTTTTTAGCCAATTTCTAGCTGTTCTAATGCATATAGTTGGCGATGGATCAAAGCATAGTTTTGGAAGTATTTTTTCATTCACATGTTTTGCCAGTTCATCTGAATTAACATTCTACTTATTTGATCGAAAAAATGATTTGATCTAAATCAAAACATCATCATCCCATAGAAAACTCCAAGTTTTTGGATGTTTGCCTTGTCTTGAAATTGGGAACTCACTATTTTTAATATAATTTATTGCCCATGCACGTATGCAATGAGCATGATAAACACCTTTTCCAGCTGCTCCTACCACAATAATGCTTGCTTCAATCCTTTTATGGCCATGCTCTACAAGATGAAAATAGAACAGCATTGTATAAAGACGTGCCTTTACCACCTCACTATGTTTATTACTCTTGATTTCTTTTTCCAATTGCTTAATAGTATTGTTCAAGTATTCTAAGGACATAATATTGTGACTTTTAGCAGTTTTAACTTCAGAGTCACTTCCAAAAATTTCAGAATCACTATCTGAACTGATTGTATCGCTCATACTATAATTATCCATATTTATATGTTTATTCATCTTTTTAAAAAGATTAATTAAAGTAATTTAACATTAATTTATATTACAATTATCACATATATTTAGTGAAAAATAACTTACAGGTAACCAAAATAATTCTAATTTGGGTGTTCCAGCTGCAGCTTTTCACTGTATTTGTCTCCGTCTTCTTTTCGCTCTTACTGAGTTTCCAATATATACAAGTGGCTAATGAGTTGTTACTTCTGAGACTGTTTGCATCAACCTTGTAATCATGTTATCTGCTTCCTCAGATCTTAAAATACTTATTTCTCTGTCCTCAACATCATTAAGTTTATCACTACTGCTGCTACAAGTTTCTGATACTTCTATCTGGTGCCTTCTCTTAGTTATCCTTTGCACTCTGACCTTTCGTGAGTGAACCTTTCTTTTTGTTAATCGTCCCATTCTAGTGAAATATTATATTTGACAAATGAGACTGATATTGCAAAGCTGATTGAGTATTTAAATACTAGCCTTTTTATGTAAGCATAAACTATATTTTATTTCTCTTTTTTTTTATTATCTTTACTTTTGATATATTTATTACATCATTTAAGTATCAATAGTTTTAGAGATCAATTGTTAGTTTAAAATGTCTATATTGCATTCTCAGATAAGTATAGTTTCATTAGTTCTTTCTGATATATTTAACTATTTAACTCTTTATTATATGCTTAACAGGTTAACAATCAGGCCTTCACCAACATAAAATTTTTGACCTTCCTTATTTGTCGATCTTACTCACAACTACATATAGCATTAGGTAAAGTTTTATTTTTTTTTTATTTCTGCTTGTCTTTTGTCTTTAATTCGATACTAATAAACCTTTTCTCAATGATTAAACAATTATAGTTCCAGAGAACCTTCTAAAGTTTTTATTTCATTATTAAAAAAAAAAAAGAATCTTTATTGACCTACTATATTTATATAACACTTACGTGCTACTGAAGCATATTAATGTATTATTACAGATTTGGTAATAAGATTATGCACAAACTACATATAATAAACTCACTGTAACAATTGTATACTTACGATCAACTAACTAATTATATCAAACTACTAATTATGTGATTTATTATTATGCATTCTGGCCAATAGAATACTTTATTTTTAGTGTCATATGACTGGCCAAATTTTAGTTTTATTAATAAAATTAACAAACTTTAAAGAAATTCTACACTATAAAATATTAATTAATTAAAAAAATAAATATTATAGTTATGTTTTTTAGGTTATATTTTATTATTTTATAAAAAGATTTAGTTTGTAATTGTTATAGTTTTTTGTTAATAAGATTTTAAAATTTATGTATTTTATTTGTTGATTTAAGGATTCCTGCACTGTAGTAGATGAGAATTTTTAATATCTTCATTAGTATTAACTAAACTAGTTTTTAACATGTGATCATTTTGCTTATTAGATATAGATCTGTTTTCTATTTCAGTTGATTGAGTTGCTCGATTCTTACTGGGTATATCAGTTAGCTCTGCATTAGATATAAGAATATTAGTAGCAGTTGCTTTTCCTTTTTTAGTTATTGTTTAATGCAGCTGATCCTAATTTGTATTTGTTGTATTCTGGCTTATAGGTAGTATGATAATATCAGAATTTTCAGAGAGAAGAGCATTATTACTTTGTTGTATTAGTATATTATTTTTGATTTAGGTTTTGTTTTGTATACTATTAGTACTATCTGTAGTAATAGAGTTTTTTATTCGTTTTCTACTAGTTTGTATTTGTTATTAAGATATGTTTATTGAACTAGTAGTTTTATAACCAAAGTAGGATAGCTTTTTGTTGGTTTGTTTTGTTGCTGAACTAGTTGACAATAAGTCTTTAGTAAGTTTAGTTAAAGCAGAGACCTTAATATATGTTCTTTTAATGTTACCTAGTTGTAATTGTAGTAAAGCTTATATTCATATAAAATAATATTTACTTAATTATCTATTTGTTTGTTGTATTTTTATTCATTATTGTATTGTTTTTATTTTTATTATAAAACTTAGCAGTACGAGAAAGAGTTTTATTCAGATTATAAGTCCAAAATAGTTAAAGAAGAGTATTTTATTATATTTTAAATTGTAATTTACTTTATAGTATATGTATACTTTTTCTAAATAAATGATAAGCAAGATCACTAAAAAAAAAAAATTAATTAGTATGAGACTTTGTTTTTTTTTTTTTTTTTTTTATTGATACAATGCCATTAGCTAAAACTTTTATTGGTTATTTGATAGTAGGTAATGATACATATTGTGAGAATACAACTAGTCATATGTACAACTTTAGATTGTCTATTTAAGTAGTCTACCCGAAGGTTCTACACTAGTTGCGATACCTGAAACCTATTTGAAGATTCCCTATTTAAACCCTCTGGCCTTATGACTTACCTGTTTCTATCTATTTATACCAAGCTAGCCTAACCCTGTGCTACTTCTCCAGGAAGATACCCGAGCTGATATATGTTTACAAACTTTATGATTTGAAGCCTAGGCCCATCTCAGATACTCTTTCACCGACTTCCAAATCGATGAGTGCTGTAGTACTCAACTATGTTATGATATATTCTAATTTAGCTTGTATATACTCTTGTTCGATGTTCGTACAAACCCAGTTCCTACTGTAGTCTTCCACCAAGTTAGTCATCTGTGTCTCTAGATATCACATGAAGTAGATCCTCCCAAATCTGTTGCTTAGTGTTGCCTGCTTTGCTGCCAGATATCACACAAGACAGATCCTCCCAAATCCAGTTAGCCGCCAAGCCAGATTGGTGTTGCTGTACGACCTCGTATAACGGACTTACTCATACTTGTTTCATCGATCCTTCTGTACTCAGGGCTTACTCATATCTATTTCACTAATCTTTTCATATGCAAATTTCCTTTCCTAGATCAGACGTTAACTGGTATGACCATCAAAATCTATACTACTTCACCTAACTCAAGATTTCTACTATACAGGTCCCTTGCCCATAGATCCTATCAAGATTTATTCGTATAATATTACGCCTCACTGAACGCCCCATCATACTTCCAATATCTGATTGGTATTAGTGCAATGTGATTTACAGGGTTACAACTCCAAAAACGAGCAGAGTTTACTGTAAGTTAGATACAGATGTCTAGGTAATTATTTAATTCTATATACAGTGGAATTTGAACCCTAGACCTCTTGTATGGCGGTCCAACAACCTAACCACTACACTAAGATCACCAGATCTTACTATTCTTATTCTTAATTATAAAAAGCTATATAAACTCTTCTTTTTTACTTTGCTTCAAATTAGGTTTAACCTATACAATCTCCTTAATATTAGAATTTTCTTAGTACAGAAACTAATTTTTTTTTTTGAAATTCAGCAGTCAGACTACAACTTTATTTAAAATTTTTGTAATATAAAAACTAACTAAAGACTAAAGAAAAGCTTTATATATGATAGTGTTTTCTGTTTTCTAAAGTGTAGCTTTCTTGGTTTTCATACAGGCTTATAAATAATCTGCTATAATAAGTATTCACTCCTTTTACTCTCTTACATATTTCAATGCTTTAATAGTAAAGATCAATGGTATAGAACTCACAGCTCATTCTGACTATAATAGCAAGTTCCTAATTATCTCTCTTAAAAATTCATCTTAAAGAAATAATAAAGAGAAACCTAACTATAATAATAAGAACTAAAAATAAAAATTGCATAGATTTGGTCTAGTAATCTTAGTGTAGTAGTTAGATTACCAGACTACTATACAAGAGATCTAAAGTTCAAATCTTACTATCAGTAAATTTGAATAATTACTCGGATTTTTATACCCAACTTACAGTAAACTCTGTCTGTTTCTGAGAGGTTATAACTCTGTAAATCATATTGCATTAATGTTAATCAGACATTAGAAGTATGATACAATGTTCGAGTTATATTGCATGAATAAATCTTGATAGGATCTATGAGCAGAGAACCTGCATAGTAGAAATCTAGAGTTTGATAAAATTGTATAGATTTCAATAGTTAAGTCAGTTAATATCTGATCTAGTGAAAAATCTAAGTGTGAAAAATATAAGATTAATAGGTGCGAGTAAGTCTACTATATAATATAGTCTGATATTTTGCATTAGTGATAATACCAACTTGGCTTAGTAGCTAACTAAATTGAAAAGATCTACTTAGTAAAATATCTAACTAGAACTTGGAAGACTATATCTGGTGGAGAGCTATAGCAGGAACTGAATTTATACAAATATCAACAAAAGTCTAATTCAGGTGAATCTGTGAAATAAGTATATAACTATACTAGTAGAAATCACTTTTGAGATTAATTAAAACTCTATATGCTCACAATATATTAGGCAATATATATTCTAAGAAGATCTAAGTTATGTGGTAAATAGATCTACAAGTAAGTAGACTAGTTTAAATAGTCAGATATAGTAGTGATATTAGTTTAAAATAGAAAGAAGAGTTAATGAACAGAGTATTTAAATAGATAACTCACAGACAAGTTGCAAGTATAGTAGCATAGTATAGAACCAACAGATGGTTGATTATCTATATAGTGGACTACTTAAATTAGATAATGACTAAAGTTATACATGTGGCTTATTGTACACTTATTATATAACTATAAAATCTTAGAAGATTACTACTATAGTAACTTTGTAATTACAAATTAATAAATTCTAATTAGCCAAAGAAGTAGCCTTAACAAATTAAAAAAAATTGCATAGATTTAAGTAGCTACAATCTATAACTATCATCTACATAAGTAAAAACTTGTTACAGAAAAAATACTAATATAGAAATAATAAAAAAAAAAATAAAAAGAAATAGATAAAGATAAAAAAAGAAAAAGGATTACTCTTTAGCCTGAACTAAGAACAAAAATATTATATTATAGCAATATAAGCATATCTCATATAATTTTTAACTGAATTCTATCTTTAGAATAATTTGTTCTATACTTAGCTATATTTCTAAAGACTAAACATATATAGTTACTTACATATAGTACAACAAAGATCCAAACAGATCTATTTGTTATGTAGTTACTTAATTTGTAAAAATTCAAAAATAGTAAGAATAAACAAAGATTATTGTTTGCAGAGGAAACCAAATTCCCTTTTTTTGAAAAAAAAATAACTGCAGAACTTTAGTAAAAGAAGTTTATCCAAATAGAGCCAAATATTATAAGCTAGTAGAGGGAGTATATTGCTATTTGATCTAGTTCAAGTAGTTTAGTAAATTTATTTGCAATATTTCTATAAGTTATCTAGTAGGTTAAAAAAAAATTAAAACCTGCTAAGGTCAGCAGCAAAGTTTCAGTAAACCTCTTATAAAACTAGTAGTAATAGTTTAAAGACTATATTCTGCCTAGTTCAGAATATTTTTTTTTGTACTGTTCAATATTTTT